GCGGTGTAACGGCAGGGGAGGGCGGATTTCGTAGGGGCGCACGAAAGATGCTGCCGTCTCTGCAGGACTCTGTGGATGGGGATGAAAGGGAGCTGGAGAGCAGCGAGGAAGGGGCCGGCCCGGCGGAGGAGCGGCACAGTGATAGCTACTACTGCCTGTACAGCTACCAGTGCTGCAGGTGAGGGGCTGGATGGAGTCCCGCTCCATAGTACCCAGCCGTCTGCTCTTCCCCCGCTTCCTCCTTAGCCTGCTGGCCCTCGGCTCCCCGCGTCCCTGGGCCGCCCCGCAGACTGCGATCTGCAGGTGCCATCCGATGCAGCTGGAAGGAGGGAGCGAGGCTGTGGCTTGCTGGCTTTAATTCCCGGGTTGAGGTCGGGTGAAGGGCTACAATCCGGACCGGGGGTGGGGATAATAGGTGTCTATCTAAGAAAAGGACAGACCCTCAGCTGGGGGAGAAGGGAGGGTTGCTCAGACATGTTAAGGTTTGGAGCAGCAATGAGCAAGCTAGGCTAGTGAGTGGACCGCATGAGCAGGGCCGGCTCGAGCCATTCCTGCGCCCCGGGCAGCCGGTGCGCACCGCATGCGTGGCTCTGCCCCCGGGCGCACGACACATGCGTGGCCCCGAACCCACGGCGCGCTGCGCACCTTACAGCTGCAATCGGGCACGTGGCGCCCGATTGCAGCTCTAAGGGGCGCTGGGAGGCCCCTGATTGCAGCTGTAAGGGGTACCAGGCATGCGGGGCCCCTGACTGCTGCTATCAGGCGCCCCCCATAGGTTGGCGCCCTGGGCAGCTGCCCAACTAGGCCCCCCCCTTAATCCGGCCCTGTGCATGAGTGGCTCTCCTTCACCTCAGTGGACCGCAAGATTGTCGTAACCAAGATGGTCTCCTGGAATAGGGCAGTTTTGCTAATGGCGCTTGTGTGCCTACAATCTGTGGAGTGTGCTGATGGAACCATAGCAGTGCTTTGTTTGGGAGCGTGTAACACCAACAGAAACTTTCCAGGGAGGGTTGGGGCCGTGGCATGACAGCCTCGGTGGTCAGGGAGGAGTGGGGCTGCAGCACAGAGACCTCTGCACTCCGCCAACTGTGGTGGACCTGGGCCACAGCACGGTAGCCCTGGTATTCTGGCTGCACGGGAGGGCTGGGACTGCTGTGCGATAGCCCTGGCCCTCTGGGTGGCTAGGAAGATCTGCCTTGGGTGTTATTCCTCCTGCAATGAGGTTTAACAGGTAGTTCGAAATAGGGCTTTATTTCAAACGCCCGTTTCACTGCCGCGTGTAGACGCGGGCAGTTATTCTGGGCTTGTCCATTTCAAAAAATGGCGCCCAGCCGGGAACATGCAAATCAAGCGCGAGATATTTAGATTCCAGGCTTGATTTGCAATTTTGAATGCCTACATTTGCAGCCCTATTTCGAATTAGGCTGCAAGTGTAGACATACCCTAAGAGAGGGAATGACAATTAATTCCTTTCTCTCCTAACCACCCTGTTTGTCCTTCACTCCATAGTTAACTACAAAGGCTACTTCTACTCTGCACCATCCCCACAATGCTTCTTACCCCTTTGCCCTGTTCAATGGTAATATAATTATATTTAATATATGTAATGTCAGTCATAAAAACACCTTGCTTTTCAGTTCATCAGAACAGGCTGCTGGCAGTGATGATGGAAGTCCCAGCAGTGCAACATCAGAAACTCCCTCTGCTGAAGATTTTAGGTAAAATGCCGAAGAACCACTTAAGTACTGTGGTTCCCCATTCAGTTTCTACTTCGTACCCTTTGAAAGCTTGGTATTTGGGTAGATACAAAAAGGAATACAGCATTAGAGAACACATTCCACATCAAAATACAAATCCCCCTAAAACCAATACTGGCATATTTTTCTGGTGGCTTTTTTTTCTTTTAAACGCCAAGATGATAATGGACCCACACAACAAATTGACTTTCTGATCTGAGTGAGTGGAAGCTTAGAATAATAGACCGGTACAAATTGTACTCCTTGGAAATTCATACTTTTTTCTTTTATACTACTATTAATCTTCTAACGTATCTACATAATTGTAGTCTGAGTATAGATAATTAATGACTCATTGGTGCAAGACTAGGTTATCCCCTCAAATCTCTACACCAAGGACTTATTTATAGAGAGTGGAATAGCTTCTGTAGGAGAGATTGAGAGACCTTCACCTCAGACTATGTCATAGCCCAATGATTAGATCACTTCCTTGAGAGACATAGGAGACCCCTCTTCAAATCCTTTCCCTCCCCTCCATCAGAGGGGGGATTGAACCTGTGTTTCTCATGTCCCAGCTGAGTGCTTAAATCACAGATAAAAGTTATCAGGTGAGCAGTAACAATCGCCTTTTCCTCCAGCCATTTTATGAGGAGTTAGATACCAATCAACCTATGCCAGTCTCAGAAGAACGCATTAGGAGAGAAGTTGTAGGTTATGAGTCACTAGAAAAGAGAGGTGTCTATCCCCTTCCTCTCTGCAGCCTGCTTTTAATCACTTATTTGCCTGAGAGGGTCAGAGCTTAGGATATACCTGTTTGGCTTCCCCAATGGTTAGCTTAGGTAGCTCTTCACACAGTTTGCTGGCTTTTGTGAATTACATTCTAAGCCCTGGTCTACCCTAGGGAGTTATTTTGAAATAATAACTCTTGCTTTTCTTGGGGAGTAAGCTTAGTTCAAAATAGTTATTTTGGGAATTATTTTTTCAAAATAAGTTAGTTAGAAATAATTTCCTAGTGTATACTAAGGATGTTAAGAGGCGGGTAATTGACTAATCATGTAGTCGATACAGATAAATCATGTACAATTTGTATGAATGACATGATTAGTCAATAAAGGAATGTGCTCTGGTCCAGCTTGGCTCTGCTCCTACTACATTTAAACTGCAGAGGTGCAGTGGAGGTAGACCCCCAGACCGGCATGAGCTGGGACAGAGCCGAGACCACTGCAGCTCTTAGTACATTTAAAATGCAGAGCCACAGTGGTCCCAGACCAGGACAAACTGGGACTGAGCTGGGTCCAGCAGCCCCTGTCTGTGGCCAGCCCCGGCCGTCCACAAACAAGGGCTGCTATCAGGGCAGCCTCTACCGATGGCCAGCCCAGGCCACCACAGGCAGAGGCTGCTTCGTGGCAACCTCCCCTACCTCCCTACCCACGTCCCGCTGCCTCTGATAGAGGCAGCACTGCGGAGGTGGGGGCAGGTGACACCATAGGGATGGTGTTGGGGGGGAATCGGCGTTTAAGCCAGTTCCCCGCAGCACCGGCTCCTCTTTCCCGCCTCTTGCTGCCTCTGATACAAAAGGTGGGGGGAGGAAGCGAGTAATCAGGTTAGGCTGATCAGGTTGTTGACTGCTCACTTACATCCCTAGTGTAGACCTGCCCTAAGATGCCTCTCTCTCCCTATTCTTTGACTAGGGAGCCTCGGCTAACTTTCTAAATTGCAGTATAGTCAGGTGATTGTGCAGGCACCCAAAGTTTAGACACTGTGCTGCTTGTTGGCACAATGCTCAAGTCCCTTTGTGAATCTGAGCCTAAGTGACCTGCTTAAGGCTACTGAGAGAATCTGTGTCAATTGATATTAGAACTGAAGAATCCCAACCTACTGAACAAAGCACTGAATACATTTTTGACTTATCACAGGTCATATAATGCATTAGGGACAATGCCAAGGACAGATTCCAGGAGTCTTGACTGACCCTCTGCTAGAACCATAAGGAAGCACTCCTCCCTACATGACATTTGATAGATGGAATTAAAACAGTTTGCTCCTCTTCTCACTACGAATTTTCTCTTGTTTTCATAGCCTCTCCCTGGTGGCTACTAACTTACCAGCTGAAGCAGAGACAGAATTGCGCAGTTTTATTGCTAAGCGTCTTGTTAAAGGAGCACTTTTTGAGGGGATGGGCAATGTTGCATCTGTGGAGTTGAGGTGAGAGTAAAATGTACTGTTTTTAATTTGTGATAAACATGGGAAGTAATAAGAAATGCTGCCAGTCTCACTAAATTTACCATCTGCTGCTTCATACGAGTTTAATCCTGAGTGCAGCTAATCAGCCTGTCAGTGCATATGTAATGCTCCAAGTTTAGTTATGTGTTAGTAGCATTTCCCTTACATTTCCTTTAGGTGGCAGTGAAGAACTGCAAACATGTTAATTTGTTATAAATAGGTTTGATCAGGTTACTTTGATCACACTTTCTGTGCAATTAACAAGAAGGAAATGATCCAGAAAGGTTGTACACGTGGTGCTTTGCGCAGGTTGTATTGGGAGTTAGCATATGGTACATATTGTAGTTGGCTCTCACTACAGTACACATAGCCTTTATTTCTAAAGTCAGTTTTTCTTTTGAATCCTTGTTGGAAAATACAAACAGTATTTTTTTTTAAAAGAGTTTATAAATCGGATAGTTAAAACTTGTATTTATTTCTGGGATGTCCCTCAGTCAAGGGATGACATATTACTTTTCTGAAAGCAAGAATATTCTTTTGGGATCAGGATGGATTTATATTGATCAACGTGAAAGAAAACCAAGATTCAAAATTCTAATTGTAATCATTATCTGATTACACACTAATGTATATAGAATGTAGGACAGGGAATCTTGACCCAACTGAAGTCAATGGCAAAACTTCCTTTGACTTCAATAGAGTCAAGATTTTGCCCACAGAGTGTGGCAGGTTAAATTCTAATGTGAGATACAAAATGAGATTAATTTAGAACAATCATTACATTATTTGACACATCTATTTTTCTGTCTCTAGCATACCAGAATGTCGAGTTGCTTGTTATTACTGTCTTCTTCAACAAGAAAACACAACAGTGGAATCAAACATCAGCCCTCCAGAGTACATAACTTGTTTCTTAGGCGGCTCAGAGAAAGGACTTGAGCTATATCCTTTCCTTAATCTTTCTGCATTTGGGCGTAGGGAAAAAGCATACGAAAATAACAAGTAGCGTGTTTACCCCAATTAACTCTGAAACCTGTTCCATCTCTGCTGCAAGTGACTTGACTTCATTAATTATTAGTTTACTTGTACACATCTACCAGATGTGAAACTGAGAATGCGATTACCTACTACATACTAAATTGGCAATATGCAAGTCTTAATTTATGTATCTTATTTCCTTAAGAGGATACTTTCAGACTTGAGTTGGATGTATATGTTCAAGGCCTGAAGGCTAGCCTTGATTCAGAGGTAAGATCTAATTCTATGGCTGAATTTTTTTAAACTGTTAAGATGAAATTTTACAAATTGTTAATCTGATTTTATGGGGCTGATTTGTTATAAGTTTGACAATGATCTGCACAGTAGATACTTGGGTTCTTGTCAAATCAGGTTACAGAATTAGAGCGTGTATAGAGTTCAGTATCTTGTCTGGACATTTGGATTGTGCAGCAAGGTCAATCACACTGAGGACAGAACCCTTGTTCTTCCGGGGTACTTTGTGGTTACTGGTGTGTCCCAGAATTTTGGAAAACACATTCAGTTCCCCAAAGTCAGAAAGGTAACCGGTAGGTCGTGAATCCACGCCAAAGGTTGTAAACACTTGTGCTAATTTTCTCTAGCTAATCGTACAGGATATAGGCTTATAAATTCCTTGCATTACAGCCAAATATAATGAAATAACCCACTGAAATATCAAACAAAATGGTATAAACCAATAAAGAAAAAACAGATTAGACAGTATAGCAATCTGGCAAGCTAGTCCCATGGGCTACAGAATTAGGATTGATTACTCTGACAAAAGGCTACATAGAGCATAGACATAGTACACAGAAAGTTAGGACATGAAATCCAACATGAATGGGGAAATGAGCAACTGTCTATACAGTGAAACAATTTATACAAGGTGCTGCCCACTGGATAAATTTTAAACAAAGGGAAAATCAGACTTTCTTTTCCAAGCACGGTAATCGTAAAAGTTCCTTGTGAAACAAATAGGTAAATTCAGGCAGAAGTGTGAATAAATTGACTAAATCCCTTCAGGATGCTGTAATAGCATATAGAGAGGTTTGCACGATGCAGCCAGTCTCTTAAATTTTCTAAGCAGTGGCAGGTTGTTTTGTTTTTTGTTATGTAAATAAGCTTGGAGGAGAAAGATAACAAAAGTTCAGGGAATGAAACGCAGGTTCTGATTCCCTTTCCTGTGTCCTATCTATTGGACTACACTGCTTGCTTGGTACATGTCAGAATACATTACAAATATAACATGTCATCTTCTTGCAGAATAGAAAGCTTTTCAGAGCTAGTGTTTCATGTCAGTAAGACTTAAGATGCCAAGCTAATGATTTTAGGCAATTGTAGTTCAAAATTAGAAAGGACTTGACATCCAAATTGCATAGTTTGAATGCTTATTTTCATGCCAGATTCAAAGCTTGAATGCTTCAATTTGCTACAGAAAAGTAACCTGGAGACTTGTATTAAACCATACCTAAAAAATTGGTTTGAGGATTCTGTGTGCCCTATCCAGAGAGTTGTACAGCTCTTCCAGCAGAAACTCACCTTTTTGTTACATGCTGTAAGTATACATCAAACTAAAACATCTTCTAGTCAGCTCAGAGATCCTATTATGTTATTCATGTAACTTGTATTTGCTTTTCCATTCACCTTGAACTGAATGAGAAAAACCTCCCCTTTTAGTCAATACAAAGTAACTTTTCTCAGCTATATTGCTAAGCCAGTACTAGTTATTTCATTCACCGGTCAGGAATGAACTAACATTTTAAAATTAATAATTTTATAGCAGACTTATTTTATAATTGCATACTTAGTATTGTTCATCTTGTAATTAAAATGAGATAGGCAATAAAATTCCATTGGGCTCAGACCAGGACAGCTCAGTATCTATGAAATTCATCGTAGAAAGCTCTGAGAATAAAAATACTGGTAGACAACGAACATGAGAAAGATGTGGGCAGAGTGGTTAACAGAAGAACAAACGAGTATGCTTTTCAGAATGTATAAATAGTTATAATGAATATAGTCTGGAACAGTTATCTAGTTTCTGATACTTACTAAACTACTAGGAAAAGAACTTTACTAGTAAAGAGTAACAAGTGATCCTGATTATAAAAATAATGTATATAGTATCAGAAGTGAAATATATACAGCCAGCAGCATTCAAACTGTTTTTTTTTTTTTAAGGCTTTGAGTTACACTCCTGTTGAAGTTAAAAATTCAGATGAAAGAACAAAGAAAGATATTAACAGGTAAAGAATATTACATCTACACAGAGATAGTTGAGCCTATAAATAGCTTGACTTATTTTGTATGATCCCTTTTCCTGGTTTTGCTATTTGGGTGGAAACTGGCAGTTCACAGTAGTTTTGTGTGTCAGGTTTCTGAGCGCTGCCAGTCTCCAAGGTCTCATTCAAGAAGGTACAGTGACCTCTTTGTGTATAGCCATGACTGAAGAGCAGCACAAATCGGTGGTAATAGACTGCAGTGGACTAAAGCCTCAATTCCATAATGCAGGTGAGATTATGGATGGGTATACTGCCATCAACTTATCCAACTCATCTTTACAGAAGGCTCAACACCTTATAGGATCATACACAGAACATTTTGGTGCCTAGCTATCTTGAGGACACCTTTCTTCCCATTTGATATCACATATACAATCTACAGAGACACTTAATATCTGGTTTCAAAGTGAGGGGTCCTAGAATCTGGAATTTGCTCAGCTCTGTGATCTACCAAAACTCAGATCAGATCAAGCCGTAAAGCTCACTTTTTCCACCAGGCTTTTGATGAGTGGGGTGTTGGAGGATGTGGATAGTCAGATAATTATAACTATTTTGGGCAAATTCTATTGAATTGAACTGTTAGCTGTAGATTTTAATCTTGTTTGTAGATTTAAAAGCACCTGGAGCTTTGGGAGAGATGTTCCAAAGAAACTGAAAACAAAATCTATTTTCTTGGAATACTAGACGAAATAGCAAGAAAGAGGAATTAGTCACATTTGCTTTTGTTTTCTCATACACATCCTGTCCTGTCCATCTTTTGAATTTTTATGCTTTTGCATATTTATGCCATAGAACAGATGTTACTGGTGTCATTATTATGTGAGTGAGATTATAGTCACATAGACCTGGGTTATGCATTGCTTACACACGCACACACACACTTTTTCCTTACCTACTTTCTTCATTCTTGTACATATGACAGGAAGCAACAAATTCTGTGAGGATTGGATGCAAGCTTTTCTTAACAGTGCTGAAGGTGGAAATCCATTTCTCTTCCAGCAAATACTGGAGAACTTTAAATTGAAGGTAACTTTGTACACTCATCTGCTTGCAGGAGACCGAAGGGTTACTGAGTATGTAAATAGTCACTTATGCATTGATATAATGATAAATGTGAAAGTTTGCTTAGGTCCTGCTGTATCTGGAGCAGGCAACAACAGAATACCCTCTCACGGAAACAAAGACAGATTTAGAAACCAGTCTATTTTTAATTGAAACAACCAAACTTTAAAATGACAGTAGCAACTCTCATCCATAGTTGTAGCTAACTGATTTGTCTACTAATATATGTAATACAATTCTTAATGCAGACTCCTCCACTTCTCCAAATTCATGTATTGGCATACCTTTTCTACAAATAAAAGGATGAGGAATATTTTCTGTTACTGTGTTTATAGGCCATACAAGACACTAACAACCTGAAGAGATTTATTCGTCAGGCAGAAATGAACCATTATGCCTTGTTTAAGTGTTACATGTTTCTAAAGAACTGTGGCAGTGGAGAAGTCCTTCTGAAGATCGTTAAAGTGGAGCATGCTGAAATGCCAGAAGCCAAAAATGTAATAATTGTCCTTGAGGAATTCATGAGAGAAACAGCAATAGCGTAAGATCTTAATTTTTGTACTCATTTTCTGCTATTATATAAATAATTCCTTCTTTGTAGATCAGAATTCATTATTGCAGAAACTTAAATTATATTCGAGTGCATTCAGTCATTTCAAACTTATTTCACATCTGGGTCTTTTTATAGTTCCTCTTTTTAGAAAAAGCAGCATGAGATTTGCTTCAGTTTTTGAATATAGCATTTTATGCCAATTCAGCCATTCATTTTTCAACACTTACTAGATTTTGCATCTGATTCCTCTTCCTTTTTTGGGGTACCACACCATTTTGTTTTTTACTGTCATAGGAAAAACTTCCACATGAATGGCAGTGACAGTTTAAGCATTTAAAAATGTTTAATGCATAAGATCAAGTAGAGAGGATCATGACTAAATGTTGAGATCAGATTTATTTAAACAAACAAAAAAGTCATATAAAGAACTACAAACATTTGGATAAATTGCATATAGTAAATGAATTAAACATATTCAGTTCAGAGAATTTTCTCAGGCAACAAGGTCTATGTTCTTGTCACTTGTTTTCACATCCTTAATTCTGGAAGTCTGTACTTCTCTGATCAGATTATCTCTTAGATTATGCTTGCTGAACTGATTTGTTTTAAACTGAACATAATCTTTAAAATAAGCTTTCCTGACTTGTATGGAAGGTTGATGTGGTGTGTGCCTCAGAGTATGTATACACGTCGAACCAGTCAAGTTATGTGTAAAATGATAGGCCTGATTCTTCACTTCCTTATCAGTCTGTTATCACTGATTTTGCACAGGTGTATAAACACTATGTCAGCATGGTAGTGTTTTACATTCACATTCAGTGTATCTGACTTCCTAAGTTGCTAGAGAGACAAGATGGGTGAGGCAATATCTTTTATTGGATCATTTGTCCAAGTTAGGTCCAATAAAAGATATTACCGCCCCCAGTTTGTCTGTATAGTATTCTAGAACTACAGCACCATTGCACATATATATGCTGCAAAGCAGTGGAGAATCAGGCTAAAACATTTATAAAGATGAATTTAACCTGGCCTTAAGTCTGTGTTGAATTAAGCTCAGGTCTATTTCATTTTGAAAGTCCATCGTTGTACTCCCGAAATGAAATTTCCCACACATCATGGGAAATACATTTTCTAGCCCGTAAGTAATTTATACAGCAGAATGTAAGATATACACCATTTCAGGTACAATAGGAACCACAACTAAGTTTATCTTTTATCAAGATTACACAGAGGAGGACTGCAGGAAGGAGGCCTCATGTAGGCAAAACTCTCATTTATTTCAATTAACTAGCTAGGGAATGCAGTCTGCATGTAGTGTGTTTTATCATAACTCGACACTTAATGAACTAGCCTATTATGAAGAGGTCTTTGTCACTAGCTGTATTTGTAATAATTTAATCAACCAGTTGTATAACTGCTGTTTGTTTTGTGAGCGCTGTACATCAGAGTTAAAAGGTACATGCTTTCTTGCAATGTAATAATATCTAATAAAATAAATTAAAAATCTTGATGGTATAGTTTACCTTTAATTCCAAGTATTTTCAATGAATAAATGAATGTTTAGGCTCTAGAGCTTATATTATTCTCCTACCAATATCTGGAAGAGTAAGAGGTATAGCGGCATCATACCAGTGAGAGAAAGGATGTCCATTGGTAGAGAGGAAAATAAAAACAGCCAAAAAAACCCCAGCTTGTTACCGTGTCACATCTTAGGCTGCATGCATGATCACCGAAGATTAATAATAGTTTCCTTCAGCATGTTTTATTCATGAGTCAGTAAACCAATACTAGCAGCACTCAGTAACTTGTGTTGCTTTCTATAACTTCCATAAATTTTTAACTACTTTGGAAAACCGATCCTTTAGTGTTCAGACTGGTTCAGGTGCAAAGGACCTCTCCCTGGTAAGAGATATACGAGCATCACGAAGAATGGGTTGCTGCACAATGTCTTCATATCAAGCATTACTAAGGATAAAATAATGTCATGTTATTTTCAGCTTCAGCCCCAGGGTGGTGGGGCCAGAGCTGACAGCAAGCTGGGGAGGAGGAAGCATTAGATCTCTGAGCCACCGTGGTGGGGAGGGCAAACAGAGCTCAAAGTTGCTGGCCTCACAGCTGTCAGGATCTGTAGGCAGTGGAGTCCCCAGAGCTCTGAGTCACTGCAGGCGGCAGCAGCCCCACATTTCTCAGCTGCGGAGGGCAGCGAATGCTGGAAAACAAACCCTCCCCCCAGGCTTGGGTTCTCATCCTCTTCCCCGCTCCAGCTTCAGTTACCCTCCCATCAATCTCACCATTATTTTTAATAAAAGTCACAGACAGGTTGCAGACTTCCATAAATTTTTGCATATTGCCAGTGACCTGTCCGTGACTTTTACTAAAAATAACAGTAACAAAATCTTAACCTTAAGAGCATTACAGTCTGCTAGGCAAGAACCTCTAATTGCCAGGGGATGCGCTGGTGGTGTGAGAAATGAGACTGCTCCTTACCCACTTTGGATAGAGTGGTTGGCTGATGGCCCCAAGCAGTAATGTGTTTTGCTTATGCTCAAGGGTGGCCTCAAAATACCCAGTATAGTAACGGGCAGGTCATTCTGAAGATTTATAATGTAGGTGTTACTGGAATACCAGAAATATCACAAGTATGTAACCCACAATACGTGATCAAAACCAATCTGCATTCTGGCTTCTGAGTTACCTTCAGGGCACCTTTAATTAATAGAATTGGCTGCATTAGGGATGTTAAATTTTAGAGTAATTAATTAATCAAATAATTTATGGGATTCCCGCCAGGGCTCTTGTACATTTCAAAAGCAGAATCACAGCAGAACTGGTACGAATGGAGACTGCTTCAGTCCCCGCTTGCGCTGTTTCCTGCTGTGCCTCTATCTGTCCTGCCCCCTGTGAAGATGGTGTTGGGGGAACTGGCTTTTAAGCTGGTTCCCCCCAGCACCAGCTCCTGCTCCCCCCTTTTCTGCATCTCTGATAGTGGCAGCAAGGCAGGGAGAAGCGACAAGTCACATCAGTAGTCGACTATTCAGTAAGCTTATGCTTATCAGATAGTTGACTAGTCGCTTACATCCCTAAGATGAATATTTGCTACCATCCTCATAGATTTGTACTGGCCTTGCAAAGTTATTAAGACAGTTTTCTAGCTTTAGTTACTCACCCAACCTTTATAGGGATGACTATATTGGAAAAAAACTAAAACCTGCCTTTTCATAAAGACCTTAGATGAGTAGAATTGTACAAGACAGTTCTATATTCTTGGAATTCCTCATTCATTTCAAACAATGGATACTTACAAAGTGAAATAAGAGAGATTCTGTTGCTCGAGATGTTACATGCCAAGGTAATGTTCTCTTTAAATGCCTTTTGCTTCCTCTTGTGAAGTTCCAGAACACCTGGGCATCACTGGTTGAGCACTGTTTCATCCTCATTCCCTTCCTGATGCTTCTCACAGCTTTGTTTTAAATATCTACAGTATTTCTAGCAAAACATAAACTATGAAGATGTCAGACTCGTTACAGTGGAGACCGGTTACTTTAAGATACCTGAGCCAGGCAAACCTTTCTAGACCAGTCTGTGTGGTGATCACCGTTAGGCAATCCAATACTGGTGAGAATTACCTGGCATACCCTTCATTATGGAAAAAAAAATTACATGTCTCTAGATGTTGTCCTAGCATGCTCATAGTTACCTATATTCAATAGTACCAGCCACATATCATAGTTATAAAGCCCAACTTTTTAGACATTGCTTTTGATCTCTTCAACATGCATAGGCTTTTCTTCCCTGAGCAAATGCATACCTAAGTTTCCGTCTTTTTGGCTACGTGTACACTACAATAGCCATCCTGCATCTTCACTGCAAGCCCGTTCTTTCTAAATATAGCATGCTCACTATTTCTCGCTGCGGCTTTGCTCCGCGTCTCCCTGGTCTGCTGGGGGGCCCCCCCCAAGCAGACAAGGGAGACGCGGAGCGGCTTTTCTCGCCGCGGCTCTCTCTGGGAAAGTCTGTATACTGAACCCCTCATCCTCAGCCCACCCCAGAGCAATAATTCAAATGAAGTATGTGCATTTTCATTTTATTTTTCCAAAAAACAAAAATTGAGTTAAGAAGCAGAGCAATGCTGGGTAAACCTTCTAGTGGTTTATAACACAAACAAAAAAATTAATTACAGCTGATGTAACACTCATATACACATCTGCACACCACTCTGGCTATGTCTACACTGCAGGTCTTTTTCAGAAAAAGGTACGCAAATTGTGAACCGCAATTTGCATATCTTTTTCTAATTCTTTTTTTGGAAGAGGCTTTTCCAACATGTGGCCCCTCTACATGGGACCAAACATGGGAAAAAACTCCTCTTTTGGAAGAGCCCTTATTCTTTATAAAATGAGGAATACAGGGCTTCCGAAAGAACGCGCCCACTTCTTCCGAAACTGATCCGAAAATGCGGACGCGTTCCCTGGACTCTGGAGTGTAGACGTAGCCACAAACAGCCAACCTGCATTATCTAAAACAAATACTACTCACCTACTTCTCAGCAGCATTGCTAGGCCTTATATGCTGTTTAAAGAGCCACGAGAATCTCTGATGAAAAATGCTCTAAGTGCAAATCACTAAAAATAACAGATGAATTTAACACTCATGCAGTAACTGTAAACTGTCACATTATTTTTTAGTTACAAGGGATCTCAAAATGCCTCAGAGAAGTGGCCAAGGTTCTATTTAATTTTTAGTGATATAGTAGCCCAACTATTCATAATGTCAATATGCAAAGGATTTTCTTAAAATTGGAATTACACCCCCCTTTTTTTTTTTGCTCCCTTACAACGTATAAAGACAGGCTTTTTTTTTTGTTGTTTTTTTTGTTTACTTTGTATCTAAGCAGTTTCAGGATATGTCTACACTACAGAGCTTTTTTGGAAAAATGGCCGTTTTTCCGAAAAAACTTCAATTACGTCCACACTGCAGTCGCGTTCTTTCAAAAGAAAATTGAAAGAACAGAGGGGTTTTTCCGACATTGGTAAACCTCTTTCTACAAGGAAGAAGCCTTTTTCCTAAAGTGCTCTTTTGGAAAAAGGCATCTGTGGATGGGGAAGAGGGAGTTCTTTCGCAAGAAGAGGAAAGAGGAAAAAGCACAAATGCCATGGTGGCCATTCCGCCCATAGTAATCACAGTTTACATGCAAGATAGCATCCATTCAGTCTGGACGCTATCTTTCGAAAAAGCAGAGCACTTTTTCAATGTGCTTTGGCAGTGTGGACACTTGCTTTCAGAAGAAGTTTTTGCAGAAGATCTCTTCCAGAAAAGCTTTTTCCAAAAGAAATCTGCAATCTAGACATAGCCCCAGGAATATGAAATCTAATTTTTCCTTGTTTTGCTGGAGGACTGTTAGCTTCATTTCTTAATTCAATGGGGGTGTCAACGACCGTCAAATCTATAACAAGACATATTTTCTCCTAAGTGTCCATTAGACTTTGGTGGTAAATACTTTATCAAAAAAATAGCTAAGAAAAGTCTGGTTAAAACAGACAAATTTAAAATCCCACTTATTCTCAACCTTCAGGCTGCTGTCACTTGTACTTATAATTTCACTAGTGTTCCAGTTATCAGGAAGTGGAAAAGCCCTGAATTTTTAAAATTAAAAAACAAAACAATCAGATGATACCACTTTCTTCATACCTTAGAACAGAAACAACATGGGGCAGAAATCTATTTTTCCCTTTACCAAACACTTTATACAAAATACAAAAGTAAGTAACTGATTTCAATAGTCAATGATGAAACAGAAAAGCTGACATCAAATCACTCATGTCAAGCATTCTTGTTAATTTTTTAATTGTAGATGTACTTATAAAACACAATCCCTCTTTGCATGTTGGTATTTTTTCGTTTTTGGCATGTTACATTAACAAGCTCACATTTTTTAAAGCCTCCAAAATCTTTAATGGAAGCTGTGCTCAAATAATATTTGTTACAACAAAAATATACAGAATGTACACAATACAAAAATATTTGGAAACAGATATGACAACTTGTTACTTTGCAAATATTATTTTGTTCTCCTAGCCCTTGATGGTGAAGCATCATTTGTTCAGCATTTTTAAGGCAGAATTATATTGTTTGGTGCTCTGTGATTAACACTTGGAGGAGGCATTAGCATTAATGGTGAAAGCAAAAGAAAATCAAGTTGCATAAATCTAGCTTTATTTTCAAACGAAACAGACTCTGGGGTGTGTGTGTCAGGATACATTTGATGACTAATGTGTCTATTAAACTCATTGGAAATTAATGTATTTTTGCTGCATAAATCAGGACTGTGGAATTTTTCATGTCCTGTGTTGTGAAGTGCTCAGCAATGTAAATTTGCTGTACTGTTTTCTGGCATTTTAAAGAACCTCATTAGGGAGCTTCTTCCCATTAAAAGACAAAGATTAATGATGACATTAATAATACATTTACCTTTAAAACAGTTTGTTTTTGTTTCACATGCGATTTAT